GTGCTCTTCCGATCTCCCCAAAACCCCAAAACCCCATAAGAGCAGATAGATGAACAAAATAGTGAAATGACAAGATTGTTAAATTTAAATTTAAAAATGCAATAAAATAGAAATTAGTTTCAAGCAAACAACAATAACAAGAATTTGAGTACTAATAATGATAGAACTAGTCAGAGGCCATAAAACTGTGTTAGATAGCCTTATATGATTACAAGAATCGATAGACCTTAGACATCCTCTTCATTAAATCAACCACAAAGTAACTCTAGACTTCGATAGGGCTTGAACTCAGCGTCAGCAAAAACTCAAGAGAAGAAATAAGAAGTCGATATTGCTTAAATTTCTCAAATGCTTATTAGGCCTACCAGCAGGTCTCCCTATGACTAACTCAGCACATTCACTCCAACTCGAAGATCGCTGCACTTAGTTCAGACTGCCATCGATGAAAATGAGAGTGTGGGCAGATATAGCAGAAAGTCAGGCGAGCATCAAATGATGCCTGAGGAATCTAAATCGAAAACTCAAGAAATCAAAATTGAGGAATATGAAGAGTATAAAGGAATTTTTTCGCCTCCTCCCATTTAGAATCCCAGTAGTAGTTTAAATGTTCATATGAAAGGCAATACACCAGAGTAGATCAGTCAGTTTACAGAAGACCTGATTAACTCGCAATAAAGGCAAAATCAATCTCAGAGATTTAACTCCCCTCAAGGTAATTTGAGAGGCATTCTAAGCAAAGAGATTAATAAGTCCATAAGTAAAAAGAAAGTTACCATATCATCTTTGATTTAAGTCAAGACTTTCGGAGATAAAGAAAGAGTTAGTTCATCTGTCCCAGAGAGTTAAATAAGTGAATCAAGTGATGGATAGGAGTAGACACTATTCAAGTAAGAACCAGATAACGAGTCTGCTTCAAATCTATTTAATGAAGAGCATATTGATCAAACTCAAAATTAATCATAGCCACTTCAAGATCAAATGAAAAGTGAGGATTTTGAAGAAGTCGCTTAGAGTCAGATCTAAGAGGATCAAAACATTGTTTAAAATACAATGAGTCAAAGAGAAGAGAGTTAAGGAAACAAAGAAGTATCGTAAACTGAAAGTAATAATATCGTATAATAAGTAGTTGATAATAAAATGGCTGAAAGTCTAGAAAAGGTAGTTAATCATTAATATAATACCTAGAATCATTAGCGTTAAGATTTGCATCAGATAAACTTGAGCTAAGGGAGTCTATCTCTTCTTCAAGGTATGTTGCAGAGCTAAGAATAATTGAAATAAGTGCTGTCATAAGTTTGCTCAGATTAGCAAGTTATGATTTCAGAAGTCTCCCAATAAAACAATACTTTGTCTGAAAAAGCAGTTGAAGTAATATCAGAGTAATCACCACCAATCTTAGTTTAACCTCGGATTAATTTCAACAGAAATTAGGCCATTGAAATTTTAAGGGCTAAATTTAAGCAGAATACTATTAGATTTTCCAAACCTGATGAATAGCATGAATAACTAGCAGAAAATCTACCGTATATGTATGCTGACAATTCTTAGAGATTTAAGATTGATATGAAATTTCTATAGTCTAAATCAGATTAGAGTAAGGCTTAAAATACAAAGGACTTATCAATGAGTGACAGATTTAGTGATCTGGACAAAGAATAGCTTGAGGATATGCTAGTCAATAGAAAGATAATCAAAAACAGAGACTTTTATCTGAAATATCAAGGTATTAACGCCAACAATCAAACTATTAATAACCTTGAGATATACGCTGGCTATGCCTATTCTTAGAACTTTTAGGATTACGTCAGCCACCAGTCAAAAAGTATAAGCATTACTATTGAATCGAAAGTAAACAAAAAGTTGAGTAAAAATAGAACTGCGGCAGATCTAGGTAAAAAATGGGGTCCTAGGTAGGCTGAATACAAATACTAGAATGATTGTAGTTGCGAGACTTGCTCCTACTTCATGAAGTCCTATAGCTTGCTGATAAGATTTTATAAAAACCCCTTGCATCAATTTTGCTTTCAGCAGCTGCTGCATTATTTCTTCGCTAGGAGTAGTAAAGATATTTTCAAATAGGAACCTGAGTATAAATTGTCTAGAGAGGAGTACAAGGAGTAGTTAAATAACGGTGAGTTCGAGTATTTCAACTTCTTGAGTGATAACTTTATTCTGAGATTAAGAGATAGTAAGGTTAATGAAAGGGAAAGTATTATGAGGGCTTTGAGGGATAGAGGGTATACTAATGAAGAAATTTACTTCAGATTCAATAATTTAATGCAGTGTTTTTATAACTAGAAGTGAGATTATTTTGATTTAATGAGAATATTTTGATTAAAGCTTAATTTGATTATTTGAATGATTTCTTATAAGTATGTGGGGTTTTGGGGTTTTGGGGTTTTGGGG